TCAAGGTACATGGCAGTTTATTTGCTGCTGCTTGTTGCTACACTGGCTAAATACTTCGTTGTATCTAGTTCTTCTCCTGGGTAATTAGGCTGGAATTTTGTTCTTAAGCTAAGCTATACGGAATTTCTCTAGCTTCACCTACTACATTGTTGAAGGGCCTTAAAAGTTATTTTTCATGAACATGTAGCTATGTTCTTGATGCAATGAGAGCTATCAATGAGACAGATGCATCGCGTAATAGGGAAACAATTACCTCTACGTAAGATATTTTCCTCTCTGGTTCCTTACCTGCTAAATAAGTAATTGGAGTAAAATAATTATTCCCTGAAAGTCAAGTGTAAAAGGGGTTTATCTAATTTCTGTTGTTTTCTGCCTTTTGTGATATATGATCAAGCAAAGACAGCCTGCTTCGAGCAAAAATGGCAGTGTAGTTATCACAATCAACAGGAACCAGTTAGAAAAGAATCTTCTAGGGAGTGTTACAACTTCCTGGGAAAAGCTAGTGATGGATATGTATCCTCCAGGAACATCTGTTAGGTAGGCTGACTTGAAAATCAGCATGTTTATTCTTTTCTTGTTATATTTAAAGCAGCTTGAGTGTTTTGTAACTATTATACAGCCTGATTTGAGTCTGTGATATGTGCTTGATGATCTATATATTTCATGGTGCTAGTTGGACCACGAGAATTCTTTATTCTTAAACTAAAAAGCTTATCGTGGTAAATATATTTATCTCCACTATCCATTTTATACAACATGGTGCTTACCTTCTTGGCTATGTAATCAGCTGTTGGTGAACATATTGATGCTTTCAGATATTAATGTTATAGCAAGGTACTCTATTTGTAAACTGCATAATCCTATGAAGAAGCAAAACTGCAGAATAGCATGCAAGTGAAGCCTTTTATGTGAAGCAGGAGAAGCTTAAGCTTGCATTTTAATTAAGAAATCAAGATATGGTAAAGAAATATCCATATAAGCAACTCATAAGATTTGTTATGAGTGAGTTGTTTAAAGGTCTAACTGATGATGGGAATTAGCTGCAGCTACTTGCAATGTCAAAACTGGTGATTTTCCTCTCAAGGTTCTTTACATGGACGGATCTTGACACATTATTAGATGAGTTTGTTCAGGAAACTAATGTTACCACTAATATGTCATCTGTTGTGTGCAATTTGTGTGATTACCTGTTCTTTCTTGTTCATCACTTTTAGAAGCAGTTAGCAATGGACTATACAATATTGAATGCCTAGACATTGTTAATTGGTGATATATTTGCATCAATAAAAGGGGGAAATGTTTCCATAAGCTTTGCCACTGTAAATTCTTCTTGTCTCTCTTCAATGATGAAGTCTGTATTATCTTGGAGCTTCATGACATTTAAATTCTAACAATGATTTGGTGCCGGTTGCTGGTGGGAGGTGGTAAGCATCCCGTCGAATTAGTCGAGGTGCGTGTAAACTGGCTTGGACACCACAATTATCAAAAAAATATTAATATATATATATATTCTAATAATGATTCTCAAAGTTGGTGGACAGATGTTTATCTTGTAACTTCAATCTGCCAAAATTATTTCCTTTCAATGTTCTTTCTGTTCCAGAGTTTTAGGTAGAAATGTTACTGCACAGTTGTGCTGTTATGGTTTCGTAATTTTGCCTAGTGTTCTCATCAAGTTCCCTTGCTAACTAATTCTCTTTCTTTCCAGAACTGTGACTTGCACTTACTGTAATATAGTGCAGGTAAAAACTTCTATCTCTGTCTTCCATTCGTTTGCGAAGCAAATGTCCCAAATACTTGCTGGTGATTCTTAATGATCGGGAGTTCCTTTGCATTAGCCAAATTATTTACATGATATGGGAGCCATATGTTATGAACCTCTGTGATAGGTTTTGGCATGAAATGAGTTGAATTTTGGACCTTAAATGTGTTGCCCATGTTTTTCTCTCCCGTGATCATTAGTTCTTTTACCAATGTATTCCATCTATACCTGCTATACTTTCATTGAGGCATGCATAGCTGGTTGTATGAGATAAACGAAACATTGATAATCTCTCTTGCATTTGGAATTGGTGAAGTCAAACGTCGTCCTATCTTGTGTGCATATCTTTGTGAGAGGATCTTGGCTACTTCTCCTTAGTTGGACACCATTTCTATTACCTTTTTCTCTTTTTTTCTTTTCAACTCTTTGTCAGAGCTTGGCATGCTAACATGTACTTTCCAACATTCTTCGTCTGTGTGCTGGATTTTGGATTGGACCGTGTTTGTGGATCTTGTGAGCTTGTGTCTTGTGCTAGCTTGAAACTTCAAATTGCTTTTGTGTTCTTTCAATTCAAGTACCCTTATACACAAATTTGAGTATATGCTTTTGAAACCTAATACTCCTGCCAAATTACACTTCATTGGTCCTTAATCCTTATATCAGCACATCCTCCTGCCTAAACTATTTATCTCTTTTGACAAGTACAAAATATTTTCCCAACGGGAAAGATCAAAGAGGTCAAGTTAATAGGTAAAGATTAAAAGAGAAAGTGGGTTAAACAATGAGACTTCCCATTGATTATTTGTCTTGTTAAGTACTTGTAATTTCTCCTGTTATTTTGTTACAGTTTTGCTAACAATTTTTCAGACTTATAAATTGTTATTCTACTTGAATTACAGCCTCCACGAGCTAAGCACTGTCATGATTGTAACAAATGCATTCTCCAGTTTGATCATCACTGTGTTTGGCTTGGCTCATGCGTAGGACAGGGTAACCATTGCTGGTTTTGGTGAGCAAGTGTTCCCCAATTTGACACACTTATGATATTTGTTGCTTGCTGTTTAAGAAAAAACATTCTTCTAAATCAGTTGAAGACCTTAAAGTGCACTGATCAACCCCCTTTAATCCCCCCCCCACCCCCACCCCCACCCCAATCCACACACACTACCAATAGAGATGTTTTCCTATTGTACCTATATGGGGCGAAATCTGTATGGGTTTCAAGAGATAGTAGGTTTTGCTAGACAACTTCCTTCCATGTGATTATAGGTCTACCTCATCCTTTTACTACTTCCAATACCATTTTTTCACTCATATGGACTGGTGTTCGGAGGTTGACATAAGACATCACTAAACTATCTCAAGTGCACTCTTGTTTTTATCATCTACATGTACAACTTGCACCTCCTGCCAATGTGATTATTTTTAATATTATACAGTCTTTTTACTGGTCGCACATTTATCTTAACATCCGCATTTTCGCGACACTTGTGGATATGCCAGACCAGGCTCGATATTCACTCCAAAAAAACATTGTTGCTCTTAAAATCACTTTATAGAAGTTATGTTTCACTTTGATAGATATCCTCCTATGGCATACCTCTGGTAGCACTTGTCCAATTTAAATATTTTTTTTATATTTTTCATCAAAAATTAGGTAGTTTTACGCAGGCTAATAATCTGAAGCAACCCTCCTCCTTCATTTGGGCATGTGACCAATTTATTTAACATAAATACATTTAAGTTTAAAGATTTATGTTTTAGATGCAATCCTTGTTTCTGGAAAACAATACATACATATGTACATATATTTGTCCGCAGCCCTCTCTTTCAGCTTTATTCCTTTTTCCCAGTTGTCATTAAATGGAACACAAGGTCATCCTGTGTCCTTATGATTTAGTTGACAATTTAAAATGTATTTTAAGATTATTTTTTTCCTTTAAAAAAGTGGTATTGTCCATGGCAAGTTGGTCAAGTTGGATAGGTCAGAAATTGGGCAGAGTTCGGTAAGTTTGAAACACCTGCAAAAATATATTGGGGCACTTTATAGAGTGCAGCAGGACTTGGAGACATTGATGATTGAGCTTGTCAGTTTCTTGGAAGATGTTCTTTAAAATGTCTAATTCATTGTTATCTAATTTGCCAAAGCAATAGGCTTATGTGTCTATAACATGCAAGTACACTTGATTTCTGAGCTTTCAACTGGCTATGGCCGTTAGTTGACATGTCAAAACTTATATTTTTTTCTTTCTCTCTCTATTCCTATTTATAAATCACCATTTTAGATTTTACGTCCCTTAAGATATTACGTAAGTTTATCATTGTGTCCTTATTAAATATTCTCTTGAAGTCAACTTTTTAATAAATGAACATAAATTAATTTATCTTGATCAATTAAATTGACCAATGAACATGATTAATCATTTAGTTTTCCTTGGTTGGTCAAATTCATACTTCAAGGCTAATAACTCTCAAATATTAAGGACCATCTATTCTAAGTAAGGACGGCATATAAGTAGGAACTGGGGAATATAAGTATGTTTATATTGCATGTACACATTGTGCTTTTATTCTATAGGAAGTTCCTGTTTATCTTTGTTTCTTAATGTTTAAGTTATTGATCTTTGGTATAGTTATTTAGCTTTCCTAGTATAACAGGTGGTATCTTTGCTCGGAAACAGCCTTTTCTCTTTGGACTGGCACCTTATATATTCAATTCTTGATATCTCACCTATCAAAGCCATGGTATGTATCTGTCTGTCAGTGCTTTATCTTATGAGGGTTTCTTTTTTCAAGAGCGTCCTGGCATAAAAGAAGATGGGTGTTTCGCATCTCGTCACTGAATATGTTTTCCCTTTATATTCTACTATATACGTCTTCCATTCAAAAAAATATATGGATGGAGCTTTAGGTGGAGCATACTAGAGAAGGATAATCTGCATTGGTGTCCAACTTAAATTGAACTTGAGAAAATTTTATGGTTTATGCTTCTTGAACTTCCAGCGGAAGTTTGTTAGTTTTCAGTTCAACTTCACCCATGTGCCCTTTGCATAGTCGGTCTAATCCTGATAAAGGAAGGAGGTTTTAGTAGGTTAACGGTCCATAAAAGTAGTCAATAGTATCATGAATCTTATAGACATTAGCGGACCCAAGTGTTTTTGAGATTGGGGTATAGTTGATTGATTTTGATAATTTCATTTGCATTAGGATAAGCTATAAGTTTTTTTTTTTTTTTAACACGGATCAGAATATCTGGCTTGGATTTTTTCCCTCTGAACAGAGAAAATACATAAAAAGCCTCAGTAATTTCAGCTTCGATCTTCTGGGGAAATATTCATCACCTCCAGGATAAGCTATAAGTTGACAAGTGTATTCAGTACTCTTTTCATCTTTTTCTGCATTTAAGGTTCAACTTAGTGAAAAGCGGATTCTTGCACTTGTTACTTTTAAAGGAAGTTCCAAATTTTGTTGGATGGAATACAGATGAGTGGATTTGAATCTGTCGTTGCATGAAATGTCTGTCCCTCTTTATAAATGAAAGAAGCTTGGAAAAAAGGTGATGCCTTTAATTACTGTTGGCATTGTCTTCTTCACATGTCACAGAAGGTTAACTCTGACTGAACAATTTGAAGAGAAAACATAGAAAACTTATGTGAATAACCATGGGAACTGGGAAGTATAATTTTAGAGTTGTTATAAAATGACGGTGCAGATTTGACTAAGCAATCTGACCTTAATCCCTATGTCGGATGTCCTGAAACTTTTTTATCCAGATGAAATTTCATTTTCAGTTAACTGTCTTGAAGTCACATTTGAGTAGGATAAAGGAAATTAGACTCTGATAGGATGGGAGATAAAATTTGTTTTGCATATGTGCAATGCATTTGCTTACTCTAAGTTGGGATATTGAAAAAAGAATGATAATATAGCTAGACTAAATTAATCTACGAGTAGTTGTTCTTATTTAGGTTCCTTGAGTCTAAGATGAATATGGCATTACTTTGATTGCACATTACTTTGATTGCGTAAGGTTGCTAGAACCAATTTTTAAGCAATTAACTTTGGTCATTGTTATCCATTGTATTGTATTGTATCGTTACTATACCTACAATATTTTTTTGATTGTTACTTAAAATGTATTATACTGTATTGTTAAATTTCGTTGTTACGTAATAATGAAAACCCCTATTTTATGGAACAACCAATATGGTGTGTTTCCATTGTTATTTAATTTCTTTTTCCAATTTGTCTTTACATAATATTTCCAAATACAATGTTACCCTTATACCTTAATTATTTAAATCTAGTCAAACCTCCTACCCTAGAATAATTAAGGATATTTTAGTAAATTTGTAAATTAGAATACAGTATGATATGATCACACCAAACAATTAGAATGTTATTAAACAACAACAAACAAATACAGTCTACTCAAACATTGTATCTACCATACAATACAGTACAATAGAGTACAATACAATATAATACATTATGAAGCAATGGGTAACAATGATCCAAACAAAGTGTTAAGCTGATGTGACAAGGCAGTGCTGAGATGATGATTGGTTTAACTTCTGTATATAATATGTATATATATGTGTGTGTGTGTGATGCAATTAGCATAAAAGCTCAGGCTTCTCTTGACAGTCCTGCAATCCAGAAAAACTAAAGATGTCAAATGTGACTTTGGCTTTGTTGCAGGTGGTCATATGCAATTGTTTTCTTGCTGTTAGCTGTTTTGTCTATTTGCCTCTTCTTTCTTCTTCTCCTCCTCATATTCCACAGGTAAAATTTCTCATCTCCGGTTTCTTAACTCTTGTTATTTAGTGGTATTTGGTAGTTTAGGTTTTCCTTGAAATCTGTTAAAGTTCTTAAATGTCATGTGTGACGGTTCCTGATATGTTGCCTGGGTTACGTGGGCTTCTAGAAACCATCTATTTCTGTGGGTGTTAGGAATTCATGGACAAGGGATGTAATGATTGTCACAATTTAATGAATCTGTCATGTAAAGATGAGAGAAATGACTCAATATCACATCAATTTGATCTTGTGAGATAGGTCACAACACATTCTAACTAAGCTAGGACAAACTTTGGGCTAATCTTTGACATGTTGGCTGGATTCACGAGTGAAGAGGCTGCAAGATAAGGAAACATCGGAAGTTGTTCATTGGTCTTTTCAATAAACTTGAGTCAATCTTGCATGTAGGAACATAAAATTTCAACTGCCACTGTGAAAACTGAAAAGGAGCGTCCTTTGCTCTTTCCAATATCATTAACCCAACATGTGAAGTTTGCTCTTCAATACATTCCTAAAATGCCACTTCAGGAATAATAACTGAGATTTTACATGTTTCTTGGACAGCTATCTTATTTTGACAAATCAGATCACTTACGAGGTTCTTAGAAGACGGCGCATCCCCTATTTGAGGTTGGTTGGTCGTTTCTCCATTTCTAGCATCATGTTATATTGTTGTAATGCAGCATGTATGTATCTCATGATTGCTTTGAGGTGGTGCTTTCATAATATGATAGCAGCATATATTGGCTTAACATCAGGAATTTTCTTGTATTAAAGCGTGAGATGACACTTGCAGGAACATTCCGGAAGGAGTTTTTCCGTTTAGTAAAGGAGCATGCAGAAATTCATACGAGTTCTGCTGTGCCCGGAGCAGCATGTACAGGATGGAACCACTGCCAACAGCACTAGAATTTGAAGAGAAGTTGAGACCCTATACATGCTCCGATGTTTTATCTTGTCGGTGTTGCTAACAATCGCTTGTGCTGTATCTGCAATAGTTGTGATTGACATCAAAATTTTCCATCGATTGTACGTACCAGTATGGAAAATCTTGGTCAAGTATTTGTTTGTGGTCTCCTTAGGTACAATATCTCACATTTCTTTCAAGGAAATGCATGATATTTTGTCATGCCAAAATGCAGCGGAATGTAAAAATTTAGATATGGGTGTATACCATTCACACTTTTCTACATCCACGCGCGAGATTTGAATTGGAGAAGTAATTGAATAGAAGAATCGGATTCACTCTGACATCTGTCGAAGCCAGCATGTGGTAAGAGTTGGGCAGAGGTAGCCCTCAATCACTTACTAACTTACTCAGTAAATTAGCTAGCAATACGTCAATCCTTTGGAATTTTATTTTCAAGATAAATCATTCAAATTCCACTAAATGACAATAATAGTCTATTTGAACAAGGTCCATGCATCACACACAAGGAAGACGCCGAAAGACTTGCGATGAATTTTTCCTTTTTTCTCTACTTTGTAAAGTACATCAAGAAGCTTATAATTGCAATAGAAGGGTCCAAGTCAAAATTTGAAGATAGTTAACCGCTTTCTTTGTTGGAAAAGACCTTAAGTTTGCACAACAACTCCACTATTCTCCGGAAACAAAACATTAATCCGAACTAAAAAAAAATGCTATTGGTATAGGGTTATTAATTTTTAATGGAAAAATTATATGGCATGACAAATTATTAATTCAAATTAAATGTTACATCCGTAGTTTATTTCATTTGTAATCCGTAGTAAACATTCCATTTTTTTGTTATCTGATTCCGTATACAATTGCTCAACTTAATCAGTAAATTAGTTAGCAAACATTCCATAAAATGTATCAAAATGCATTTGTACAAATCGAGATAAAAGTGCATAAACATAAATACAAATAGATATATTTGTCTTATACACTTATAATTATACAAATACAAATTTTATTATACAAATTACAGTGTATAAATAAATTTATACAAAATTATAAAAATTGTATAAAATTGATTATCTAGGAAATTATACAAAAATCAAAAGTTTCACAGAAAACATAGAGCAATTATGTAAACTATATTTATAATATATAAATATGACTTTTATATTTATTATATGATTTTTATGTTTGTTATACGTGAAAGTCGCTTACTTTTCAGTTATTCTAATTAATTTCTGTTGGAGACAGAATCATCTGGATTGATGTATACTTTCCATTTTTCTGTCAAACTTGAAGATATTCAAAGTTGAGAATTCAGTCGATTGAATTGACCCAACATCGGTCTCATCAATGGGTCTAATTTTTGGAGTAAAATTGACGAATTCATATTAATTAATTAATAAATCTCTTAAAATTAATAAAATGAAAGGAATAATCGAATGAGTAGGCCTGACATTGTATTCGGTGTTTGATTTATGTTGCACGTTTCCAATCTCGTCCAAAGGCAATTGATCAACCCTGCTTTTAATACTTTGGTCTCAACTTTTCTACCACTTGACATAATTCATTCTATTGGAGATCCATTGTCTGAAGTGGGAAAGCTTTTTTTTAAGGGCCAAAAATTGTATCTAAGAACCATAGGAAGACCTACGAGTCATAGAAGTGTTCTGTCAAGAGTTAGGTGATTTCATGGTCCCAGTACTTGGTCTGCGGTTAACCAATACGAACGGTAGAAAGTTTTACGGTCCATAAGTCGAATCAATAGGTAGAATCTGACAATTATTTTAAGAGGCTTTTGGGATTTTTCCCTAATTGTCTTAAATCAAAACTATGTCATATTGCCTTCTATCCTAATTCTTACATAAAGTTTTTAAGCCCCAAATTACCCACTTTTGCATCTCATGTCAATAAGTAGGTAATTTTTTCTTTTATATATTAAAAGCCAACAAGCAGTGTACAACACTGCAATTAATGGTTGCATTAAAAGTAATATATATATATATATTGTACTATAAATTGACAATCTGATTAACACGTGTATTTCTCTCAATATGCAGCTGTTTATTTTTCTTTTGAAAAGTTACTCGTGTTTCCTTTGGCATATTTGTTTTCTTTTTACTTCAATTTTCACTTTCTTCTTCCCTCTGTTGTACACAGTGATTCTCTAATTCTCTTTGTTTCCTTCATTCATCACTTTTAATTTTCAATTTTGCATCTCACTTTTCATTTGTTTCAGAATAATTTGTAATTTCTTTTACCTATTTTGGTGATGATTGAATTACGTTTTGATTGATTGTTTTAAGCTAATTGTGATTTCATTGATAAAAGAAATTGAAATCAAAAGACCTTATTGCATTGGCGTCTACTATTTTTTAAACCTTTTACATTAGGTTAATTACTATATCATCTCATTCCACATGTTTATGTACACCTTATTAGCTTTACAGTGTCGTATTTGATATTCATGTTTACTCTTTGTAATCAACACTGAACAAATCTAATTTTGAACTTTTTGACTTCTCAGGTGAATGTCGCAACTGCAAACGAGACCGTGTTAAGATTGTATGTATTTGCGGTGATGTCTCTATTTGATTGTAAAGAAGGAGAATTAGCATACAAGAA